TGTCTGTTTCCGTAAAACTAACACAGTAAAGTGGTTCTGGTGAACAATCTCAGCATGTCACTATTGCAACCTCATGTCTACAGTGTTGGCTAAGTCTCTCTTTTGGCTTCTCAGATAATAACATCTGATTAACCAGACAAGGCCTTAACACAGTCCACTTTACCAAGGAGTTTCTTTGGTGAAACATCCCGAGAGCTCTTGTACTTCTTGGATGAAGGAGAGTTGAAGATGAAGAGGTTAAAAAAATAGAAATATTAAGCAGGGCTAAATCTAGCCAGTTGATAATTACATAACAAGTGAGGCAACAATCAAAAAGTGTGGGGAAAAAAGTTTAGGATGGTCCCAGTCTAACTGCAAAAATATTAATATTTATTTACAACTTGGTTGAAGAAAAATTCAAGTCTGGATTGAAAAAAAAAAAACAAACAACAACCAGTGGCTGAACCCTGCTTGCGTCTCGTCCGAGTTCTACTTCTTTTAGCGACAGGTTGCCGTTCAGGTGTTTTTACTTGTTCATAAATGAAAGCAGTGTTGGAAGTCTTGATGAATGACAAGACAGTGGAAATAGTGGCAGGGATTGAATTGGAGGCCCTAGAAAAAGCGGAGGAGTTGTTTGACTGTGACAGAAGAAATATATACCACCACAAAGTTAGTTTCATTTCATTGTGCTGACCTCTCTCTCTGGCTCTCTGGCTCTGGCTCTCTCTCTCTAGGGTCCAGGTTGCTGCTCAGACTTCGCTGTGTCCTTTCATTACATCTACTCTGTGCAGCTGTATGTGTTGCATTACCTGACGTACCATCTGCGGCCATATGGATACAAATACAGATTCAGTCCTGATGAAAACACTGAACTTAACTCCACAACTAAGTCCATATAAAACCTGTGCACTAACTGAAGGACAGGTTGAGCATAAAGTATAAAATCCTTTTGTTGTTAAAGACCTGTTGTTTCCCTCAACCTGCACAACTGTGAAAACCTTGCTTATGATGTTTGGGGTGTCAGTGGATCTGTTTTACTAAACTGCCATATTGTGTGTATGAAGAAATGTAATTAATAATGTCTTCAATCAATCTTCCTTCCTTATTTCTGTGTTTTACAACTTGCATTTTACTTGAAGGGTGTCTCTTATAAACATGTATATACTGTATATTCTGTGCTGAAACTACTGTAAAAAGCTATAATAAATAAAAGTTATATAGCTGGACAGCAACAAGGGGTAAACCACACAAACATTGTGACAGTTGGAGTCCATGGGTGAAATATTGGGGAGATATCTCAAAGACAGAAAAAAAATTAAAAGTTTATTTTGTACTGGCTGCCAAAATAAAGAAAACATACATACATTGGTACATATTCTTATATATAGTTTGGATCTCATCTCACTGGCAGAATACACCACCAGCAGAACTGTAGCTTTGCCCTGATGCGTATATGATGAAGTATTTCATATCATTTGTTAAAAAAATGATCGTTTAGTTGTGTTATTCTCTAAGTTGACACTGTGAATGACAAAGCACTGGAATGATTGGACAGTTATGATCGACACTTAAAGAACTAGTTTGACATTTTGGGAAATGCACTTAGTCACTGTCTTTCCATGGGTTGGATGAGGAGATTGATACTGTTCTTATGCTTGTATGATAGAAGTGAAGATCTTTAAAAGACTACAAGACTTCTCACTTGCATTTATGAGTTATATGTATAGTTAGTCATCTTATTGTCTACCTGGTTTTGTATCTGAATTTATATTTAAATATACATACTGATCATAGTTTATATAAACATGTCTACCTGTTTATATGAATACATATGTGACTATATTTAAATGACTCAAATTTTGCATCTCTGCATATCTCTGTATCTATTAATATTTCTCTTTGTTATTTATTTTATTTTTCTGTGGTATTCTGGTGGGACTGTAATCACAACATATACAGTGTGCTTCTGACTTGTGGAACTCTACTGTCACTAAACTTTCACTTGAACAGTTTGAACACAGCCAGAGGCTTCAGCTCAGCCTCTAGCTGAGTTGCACTTTTGAAAAAGGTTATTGAAATGGGCAATTTTTAAGAAATTATATTTCATTTATTGAAAATTTTTGTTTAACATATTTTTCTATTCCTCCTGGTACTTTTACAGCATTGAACAATAAAAGAATACATATTTTACAATCAAGTGTGTCTCTATTGATACAACATTCATTATAATAGAGATTAAAGGATTTTGTTAAGATTAACTATAAAAGTTAAGTAATAAACACTGAAGTAACTACAACATCATGTAAAAATACCATAAACAGGTTAAGAACTGTCTGTCTGGTTAAAGAAAGGCCCTAAAGGCACCACTGACCTACAAACACTGACCCACAGAAACAATATGTAACAAAAGACAAATCCCACAATTTAATACCCTAAAATAAAACATGTTTTATAAACTGCTGGCTCCATAAACTGCATCTATAACAACAAGAAATTGACTATATTCACATTGCAGGTGAAAGTGCCTCAATTCTGATTTTCTTTTTCACATGGTAGAAGTTTGGTAATAATACATTTAAAGATGGTAACTGCTTAAAGTTGGTTGTAGTAACTGACAGTAACTGACAGAAACCTGTATGTAAAGTATGAGTCCCGTAACAACCTGCATGGAATAGATGGCATTTGCAGATGGTGATGTAAGGTTTGAATAAATTTTTGTTTGTCCACTGTACTGAAACATGGCACCTGGTATTCTGTAGCTGCCTCTGCCCCATGTTGCACTGTGACACATACAGTGACAGAGGTCCTGCTTCCCTTTCTGCACACCTCCATCATTACTCTGCTCTTGATTTACACTTCATCTACTTTGCATGTTTCCATTTTCGCACTTTTTACCACACTGTGATTCTAAGTTGCACATTACTTTTTACTTTTTGGACATTTTTCTATCCACTTCCACTGTCCACTAATGTTTATTATTATCAGTATTTAGGGTTCTAACCCCAAAGCTATTTAGTTAATTTGCTAACCATTTGTTAAATCATCATAAATCTCTGTGTATTTGTACTTATGGAAGAAGTGTGGAGCAACCAGCTGTGCAAACTGAGCCAAACTGAGCAATCAGCAGAGAGGGGCCTTGGTAAGAGTCCTGGTTGTTCCAGACTTCTTCATGTCAGATGGAGGACACTGTGCTTCTTCTTCCTTCAACCTGTAGCGAAAATGTTTTGAAGCTTTGAGACAATCCTGTCTCTGAGACCTTATATAGACAGGTGTGTGTCTTTCCACATCATGTCCAGTCAGCTGAGTTTACCACAGGTGGACTCCAGTCAAGGTGGAGAAACATCTCAGAGATGATCCAGAGAAATGGAGGAACGTGAGTTACAGTAAAGTGTCTGAATATTTATGTCAATGTGATATTTCATTTTTTACTTTTTAATACATTTGAAAATATGATTTTTTTTTTTTTTTTTTATGAGGCTGCAACAAAAAGTGAAGGGGTCTAAATACAAACTGTGTGTTCAGGGTAAATGATTATAATCACATGAAGTGTACTGGGGTCTGTATCATGATGTGAGTTTAATACGTCGTCCAGCTTAACTCAGGTAACACTGACTCACTTTGGACAGGGTTAGATCACCATGGTAACGTATGCTACAGAGCAGGTTACCTGATCAGGATGCCGAAAGCCTGACTACTGACCAAACAGATGTTGTTACAGATGAACAGAATGATAATTAAACAGGAATAGTTCTCAGCACTCACACAGACTAATACATGGTCATTATAGCTGTAAATTAATTGTACACGCTGTTAATTAGCTCTAAGTTTAATAAAAATATTTAGTCAGATAGACCAGGCATGAATTTCTCTTCTTCAGTTTGTAAGTGTATCAGTTTTTTTAGGTATCATGAAACAACAAGAGAAGCCAGATGTAACTAGAAAATAAATGATCAATCAATTCATGGATGTTCCATTAATTATTAGTCTAGCCTACTTGAAAAGGTCAACTATGTTTAAAAAGGTCAATTTAATTATTCCCACACTAATACTGGGATATTTCTACTTTTCTTACAGCTGTTTTATTCATGTTGCATTATCATACTGTGTCATGTTTCTTATTTTATATTAGAGTAACTACACTCGTGGTACTGAAGATGTGATGGCCTGTAATTAAGAACTCTGACCTTCAGGGGTCCCCTATAAAACTCAGAGTTAACTGAGCCAATTATCAGTTATCCAGGATCGCCACTGTAACTCAGAGAGTGACAGGCTGATGCCATGTCTACACAGAAAGCATGTTAGACGTGTTCTTCAGTCATTCTCTACACAGCAGTCTACACAGGTACAGTCCTACTGTTTGCATGTAAACACATCCCAAAGCACCGAGTCTACTTTCCCATGTAATCCACCTGTAACTACAGTGATTGTGTTTTGGGCTCTAAATGCTTCTTTGGACTGAACACCTGTGTAGACACACTTACACAGGACTGAAGCTGCTAACATGATACTAACATGATTCTAACATTCTGCTCTCACAGCGCCTTCTGTGTAGACACACTGTCAGCTCCTCTTGCTTTGTGATACCAGCCCTTGGTTATTCAACTCTAGAGCTAGACAACAATAGAAAGGAAGTGAAAGTGAAAATAAAGCCAGTTGTATGTGGGATGCCATGCTGAACTAGTGTTTATGATGGTCCTGTCAGCTTGTACTGGTTCGTAGTTGGTTTACATCCTGGGCAGATATAAGTGGTTCTCCAGACTTAGTGGACAGCTAATGTTGTGTGCAGCATTTCAGAATTGAAAAGGAGCACCTGCAGTGTGAACGTAGCCTGAGAAACAATGATGAGGGCCACATCAGCTCTCCATCATCTCCTTCACCTGCAGCAGTTCACAGCAGCAGCAGCTGCTAGGCTGAGCTCTAGTCAAACAATAAAACCTGCGTCATCAGTCCAATCTGTTCCTCAGTGACGCGGATGGAGCATGTTAGCTTTACACACACCCTTTCTCTCCAAACACAGCCTTTTACGTGTAGACACAGGAATTCCTGCAGTTGACTTCAGTCTCAAAGTTGTTTGCATTGCCCTGACAGCCTCCGTACCAGAACTGGGCACAGGCGTTGGCCTCGGGGTCATAGTACCACTTGACCACATACTGCCGACAGGGACCTGGGTCCAGAGGCTGGCTGCAGCCTTCATCTGAAAGGACAAGAAAGGTGCAATGAGTGGACTGTTTCATCATGCTCACTGGGTACCCAAACTTTAAACAGGTCGGGAAAGGTTCTGTCCTCTGTCCTGTAGCTCTCTTGTCTGCATGTCAATATGTTTATTAGTTCCCTCAGTCCCTTTACAGTCACACAGTTGTAAAGTTCAGCCCATTATAATCTGTTCAAGAAATATTCAGATCCTTTACTTAAGCAAAGTAGAAATACTACAATAGGAAAATACTTTAAAAACCTGAAGTAAGTACAGGCATATTATCAGTGAAATAGATGGAGTACTTTATTGCAGTCAAAAGGAAAATTAGAATTAAAGTATCTAAACCAAAACTACTCTATACACATGAAAATGTGAGCGTTATATTATTATATGATATTTGAGCAGTATAACTAATGTATTAATGTGTAAGTAGCTTTTACTTATAGCTGATAGCTTCTATAATGAATATAGTAAAAAAAATGCATGTTTAAATTTGTAAGAAGCTGAGCTTTGTGTGTTTGATCTATAGATTTAGATTTAACATACAAACTACAATACTAATGGTAATACTCAAGTAAAATACAAGTATCTAAAATGTGTACATTTATTCAAGTACTGTATTTAAATAGATTCCACCACTGAGTCTGCTATACTAAATTACAAAAATAACACAGTAAAAACAGTAAACCACAGACCCCCACCAAGGCCAATGTCAAACATCATACACCGGACTTGAGAGGAAAAACATCAAATTCATAGTAAATGATCCAGATCTGCCCCATAATTGAAGGGGTTCCTCCCTGGCCAATGCTCCTTCCCTCCACCAAGGTCAGTGCAAATCGGTTCAGTAATCTTTGCATAATCCTGCTGACAAATAAGCAAACATGGGTGAAAACAGAATCACCTGGTCAGAGGAAATGAATAAAGAGAAGAAAGGGCACCCCCAATTGAGGAACAACTTCATCCTCATATTATAATAATCTCTCTCTTCCTGCCTGACAAAAGGAAATTACTTGTGAAACAGAGGTGTCAAGATTTCACACAAAATGTGATAAGCAGACTTATGTTGCGTTGCACAACTCCAGGTTTCCTGTCATGTGGCTGTAGTAAAGGAAGGCCACACACTTACCAGGAAGATCAAAGAGATCATATGTAGTATCATCAGTTGATCTGCTTGTTTACCTGGCACTGACGAGTCTGTCAGGGGTGGAGGAGGAGGGCTGACAGGAGCCTGGGTGCTCTTTGCCTCGTGCAACCAGTCAGTTGGAGTCTGAGGGCCCACTAGGGAGGTCACCCTATGGCCCTGCTTCCCTCTGCCACTGGGAGAGGTAAATGTGGCGTCTGGGAGACTGTTCCAGGGCTCCACCAACAGTTTAGTATCAACCAGGTTCTCCTCAGGCCACCCTGACTCCAGGGGCTGTACAGTTGGTACCTCCACTGTCTGTACTGTGAGTTCATGCTGGGAAGCAGAGGATGAGCTCAAATCAGACACATTATATCTTTATATTCTTGAATGTAATCTTAGCAGAGACATAACCAGGTGAACATTGTGTCAGCTTTCTATAGCAATCTGTCCAGACTACCTCAATTGGGAATATTCATGGTCCCCAGAGGATGATTTTGTGGTCCCTGTTTTCTTTTTTCTAGTGTCATCCAGCCAAATCCCCCCCTTGATAACTATAGTATCTCAACAGATAATGGACTTGATTTGTAGAAAATTTGCCGTGGGCTCATGGTGCCTATAGGATGAACCCTAAGGTTTTCAGTGACACGAGATCTCCTCTTGTACGGATAATATGATCACATTTTATCAACTATTCAGACTGTCAAGTATCCATATCATATCGAAATACAGTGTTGGATATGCTCTAATCCAGTGGTTTCCAATCTGTGGGCTGAGGCCCACTGGTGGGCCGCAAAGGTATTACGAGTGGTCCGACAAATCATTTGCAAAACAGTACAATTTTGGTGAAGAGATGTAATTATTTAAAAAAAAAATAGAAATCATTTTTAAATGTTTTAAAACATAATCTTTACATTAAAATGTTTAAAAACTCTGTTATTGTTTTTTTTCTTTTTTTTCACCGTGATAAGACAATGATAGCAACTTTTATGTTGTCACTGCTAGACCACATCATATACTTGTTTACTATCTTCAGGATCTTCTCCTGTCTGTTCAGTCCTGAATGTTCGATTGTTATCCTCAAAATAAACAGTGCTCTGAGAACGTATTTGGCCTCTGTATTGTTACACGGTCGGATGTGGGCCATGAGATTTTTAAGTGGAACATGAGTTGTTTGTCATGTTCACAATGTTAGCTTATGTTAGCATGCTAACATTTGCTAATTAGCACTTAACTCAAATTACAGCTGAGGCTGTAGTGTTTAGTATTTAGTAATTTAACTAATAAAAGATAAAAACTGATTAATTGATGATGGTGCGAGAAGAAAAGGGAAAAACAGAGTTATTATATTTCACCCAAAACTTCATGGCAATCCATTCAGTCATTGCAGAGACACTCAAAACTAAAAATGTCAACCTCAGGAGTGCAGCAGAGGAAAAGTCAGGGCATCACTAAAGTCAGTAGGGTTGATCCTCTGAGGGCCACGAATGTTGTCAGTTGTTGAGATATTTCAGTATGGACCAACAAACTGACCAACACCCATGTCACTAGAATGGCTAAAAAGACAGTAAACACCATTTTTAATAGATATTTCATACAAAAATGTAATGTTTTTAAATGTCTTAATGAAAACTCACACAAGCAACGTTCATGTATAAGATAACCCTGTGATAAAGTCACACAGAGCTGTTGGCCTGTGAGTGGCAGCAGCAAGGAAGAACACCTGCCCAGTGCTGGTGCTACATGGTTCGCCTCCATCAGTGATGTAAGCCTGGTCTAGCACCCCTAAGAGTCTATGACTAAATAATGAGTCCCCATGCCATTGAGTAGAGATGAAACGGTTACTGGTTTCACACTAAATCATGGTAAAAATACCAGACGATTAATATTACCATTTAAATTTTACTATCGCTATAACAGTGGTTAATTACTGGGGTTAATTTTAAATCACGTTAGGTACTGTACAGCATCAGCCAGCAACAGTCTCCTATGCTTGGCAAGCAATGTGCATTCTAATACCTTTTCACACCAAAATGATCAGGTATAAGTGGGTTTTTTAAACAAGGGTAAAGGACACACAACAAGCGATGTCATCACTTGCAATTAAGGAGCACACACACAGACGCAGGGAGAAGCAGTGAGCTGCTAGCCGCTGTGCAAACTGGTAAAACATGTCCATCGTGTCTCAAAGCCGGGTTGATGCTCCTGTCAATGTGAGGCGCTTTGATCTGTGATTGTGTGTTTTTGAAACTTATTTCAGGGCTGCAGTTCACTCTTTCATCCCTGAGCAGTATATCTGTGGTGTTTCTGGTGTAACAACACCATGCTGGACAGGTGACAATAGGTGGTAATACATTTTCTATTCCCTTGTTCACACAGTGGGCATGCAGCAGGTAAACTCAGTATTGCTACTGTCCTCATCTCTAGAGTTGAGTATTTTAAATGCAAGGTTAAATGTTCACCATATTTTCTAGTATCGAATCTATCAGTGTTTCCATATGAGATAAAAGGAGCGTTACTTGTATGTTCTCTTCCTCTGGGAACTCTTTGTCCTCTGGAACCTCTGGGTGGATTTCCACAGATGGAAAGACTGAATGTGGTTGAAAGGCCATCGTGTCATCCTGTTCACATATCCGACTCAGGATTTGGCTTTCCAGGGCTGCCCCAAAACAAAGACATGACAACATTATATAAATTATGGTTAGAGATTGTACTCATCACATAGGATGACAGAGGTAAGAATTATAACAGGTGAATACATGAATAATCAATGTTTGAAGAACCTTCTCACTTTGAGGCGGCAGCGCTAACCACTGCAACATGTGAATAAGTTGTTGGAGTTGTTCCATCATTTTTGACGAAGCAGTTTCCTTAAACACATCCCAGATTTCTGTGCTGGACCAGTGGAGGTATGAGCACGACTGACTGAGAATTCTCAACTCAGCCAGGTTTTATAGCAAAAAAAGTAGATGATGGGTGGAGGAGGGGATTTGAAATGCTTCATGAACAGAGGCAGCACCAGCACCTACCACTGCAGGTTTTGACCAGGAAAATCTCCAGTCACCCGAGACTCACAGTAAACAAGGTCTTAATATTCTGCTCATGACTGGGTTGATGGTGAGATAAATAACATTTACTCATCAAGTTTCATTCCTTATAATTAGTTTAGTATAATTAGTAGTAAAGCCGTATTATAAACAGCCAAATCATATTCTCTCCCATCATAGCCCAACTCATTACACAGTTAATTTGTTCAGCTAGTAATTAACTCTGTTCTTTTTCTCCACTTTTTATCTTGATTATCAGACATTACATTTAAACCTGTATTAGCAGTTAGTAGTTAATATATTCTTTATTTAGAATCAGTCAGGGGTAGAGAAGTCACAGCTTCTGATATTGGGCTGATTGGAGACATATTAATAAATAAATAAAAAGGTTCCCCACAAACGGGTGGAGGTGCCCTATTTAAGGTGGATTTTTAATTTCTAAAGTGTGGTTTTTGTTATGCTACATTGGTGTTGTAGAGGACGTGCAGAGTGAGCAGAGCTCTGACAGCTTCAGCACACCGCCATGATTAAAATGCTGCCTTGTTACAGTGAGAAGAATCAACATGTTAGTGCAGCAGTGGCATGTTGACTCCACAGGTTTAGCTTCATTAAAGTCAAAAAGATCTATCTACATAATACCTAATTAATTGTAATGACAGGTTGTTATAATCGATTAGTGCTGTATTGATCAGATAAATGTATCAACATGCCAGTGTTGATGCCAATGATGATGGTGATGATGATGATGATGATGTGTGCTTGCTTACTGGGGAGTGTCCTGAAGTCATCTATAAGGTAGACGTGCTCTTCATCAGGATCAGAGGCGATAGCGTTCATCTCAGCCTGGAACTCTTCGGACAGAGGGTCGGTCCTGTTCACCACTCCGATAACAAACATCTCGATCCCCTCTGCATGGGCCTCTGTGGCTGTTTCTTCAAACTGCATGACATCACGTGGGTCGGCCTGTCCATCGGTCAACACCACCGCCACTTTCCTCACACCAGGGCGTGAGGCCTGGAACAGCTGGTTTGCTCTGTGGATGGCGCTGCCAGTGAAGGTGCCCTCACCTAGATAGGGCATCTTCCTGACAGCGGCCTTGACATCTTCCTGGCTGTATTGCTGCTGCAGACTGACCACCACCATGTCCACGTGGCTGTAGAGGACCACGCCGATCTGGCTAGCCTCTCGGCTCACAGAGACCCGGTCAATGAGAGCGTTCACAAAGTCCTTCACCAGCTCAAAGTTTTCTGGTCCCACGCTTTCAGAGCTGTCGATCACAAACACCAGCTCCAGAGGGCTCTCTCTGCACTTCAGACCACAGCCTAGACAACAAATGTAACACTTACATTACAACTGTGACAAAAGTGCGGGAGCAGATACAAAAACATGACAAACAAAGCTGTAGCTGTGTCCCAGTTCTCTCATCCTTCAGAGGCTGCATTGAAGATCGATTGTGTTACAGCAGCGCAACTAGACTGTCCCATTTCAAAGGCTCCTTCTACTGCAGCAGAGACATGTGGCCTTCTTTTCCTGGGTAACAGGTGAATCCTTCATGGTGCAAAGTTTCCCAAGATTCACTGCATGCCAGTAATGAAAGCAAACAACACTGACAGAGAGCCCACAGATTACACTTTTACGTAATGTAATCTCAGTTCTCAGTTTTTGGGAAAAAAAGTTACATGTTGTCGTGGTTGCTAGGCAACAGCTCCTCATTTAGATTGAGCCTTTGCGGTCTACGATGGCATCCTCCAAAGGATGCAACCTCTGAATTGGGACACAGCTTGTGTCTCCATGCAGCTAATTTTACCTAATGCCTTGTTCAGATCCAACCGCTTTTGTCTTGACTCAACTGTACAGCATGTTTCAAAGCATATTTTTCTTGTTTTTGTTTCTAATATTTTGTCCACTTAATTTACATTCATTACATTTGATTACCAATGATTGCTGCAAAACTTGACAAAAATATGTGATTTACCACAGATTTCCCTTATGATTCTGATGACCTCTTCTCTCTGTGGAAGATGAAAAAATTAGGTATTAACATTTAATGTTAAAATGTACAACTCGTGTTATTTGTGTCAGTCACTTTACTCACTGTCAGTCCTGGTTCACCCTTTTCTCCAGGTCTTCCCTGTAATTAAACTCACATTAGGAGGTAGAGTGATAACATTGTCTTAGGATGATTTCGTGAGGACAAATACATGGTGATGCTCTGATCACTATCAAATACATTTTATCCTGATGTTTTCCACTGAATACTGGAGACTGTGTTAGCATTGTATGAACAGACACAAAAAATCTAAAAATATGATTACATTTATTGATGATTATAATTTTAAATATAAAAAACTGCAGAAAACAGCACCACTCTTTCTAGGTTTTATGTGTCTTATCAAATAAAAGGTAACTGAGCTCTCATGTACACAACAATATGATGCCAAAGTTAAAGGTCTGTGTAGTCTAAAGGTAGATGTCCATATGTTCTTTGATAATAAAGCAGGTCTAGATTCTATATTAATACTGGGAAAGAATCAAAGTAGCTCAGAGCCTCCTCTCTTTTGATTGGCTCACCGACCTGTTGTTACTAGAGCTCCAGAAAGAAGCCTGAGAGAGGAGATGGTTCTTAAAACTACAAATCTTCTTATGGATCAACATTTCAACAACTTAAACCTGTAGGCTACATAGCTTGATCAGTTGTGTGATTCAGACAATCATATTGTTTTACACTGCCTATATTAGTGCCATGTTGTATGTATAGCGCAATATTACACACACAACAGCATATTGACTGAGATAGGATTCTAAAAGTAGGACAGAATTTACTTATATTGGTTTTCTCTTGTTTTGTTTAGGAGATTGTTGCAAAACCAAGAAGATGGGACATGCTGCATTACCATTGGTCCAGTAGATCCAGGTTCTCCATAGTCTCCCTTGTCTCCTTTTTTTCCCCGGTCTCCAGGAATGCCTCTGTTACCCTGAGTGTGTGTGAAATCACTCTTTATTACAGCAGATCTTAGACACTGATAATCTAATGCCAAATTGTGGCAGGCCATGCTACCACTGGCATATGAAGTAGCTGTATTGAAGTACCTTCTCTCCTGGAAGCCCATCCCCTGGTGCTCCCCGAGGGCCAACTGGACCCTGAAACCCAGGCTCTCCCTAAGAATAAAGACTGATGAATTGGTGAGAGCGACAAGGGTATCATCAGCATACAGCGCATTTACCACGATGTGGCTTCTAATGCACCTTCTTACCGTAAGGGTTTGTCGTTCAGCCATTCACACACACACTCACACAATGGCGACTGAGCTGCCATGCAAAGCTCTGGCACATGGCAACTTAGCAGTCAGTGTCTTGTCCAAAGACTCCTTTACATGTGGACAGGAGCCTGGGATCAAACCACCGACCTTCTGATTAGAGGACTACCTGCTCCACCTTCTGAGCCACAGCCTCAATAATGGATGAATGAATCATCATCATTGCCCATCCTCGCTGAACAACATACCAGAGCTGGAATAAATGTGTGATCCCATTGTCTTGACTTTCAGTATACTAGCGTTGTCACTGTTTCTCTTGCCTACCTTAGGTCCCTGGATGCCCTCTCCTGGAGGTCCTGGGAGGCCTGGTGGACCAGGCTGCCCTGTAGAGCCCTGGGAATACAATATATTATGGCAATTGTCCAGATGTAAGGCTAATGTCATTATGATATGAAGAGGAAATGGTTTATAAAGACAACAGAAACTGTTAATACTGTATGTACACTCACTGACCTTTGGTCCATAAAGTCCGATTCCAGGAGGACCCGATGGGCCCGGGACCCCTGGTAAGCCTCTGTCACCCTGACACACAAAATAAATACAACAAACTTGGACTAAAATTTCTTTCTGCTAGTTATCCATCGTATGCAGCCCAACCAGATTTTTAGTTCCATTTCTGCTCCTGTGAAGTCGGGTCACAGTTTTACCAGTTGATATAGTCCAATGTAAACAAATCCACAATTATGAGGAGGTCATTTCTGCTTTGGTGGGTGTGGGAACTGATGTCCAGCAGTTAAAACTCATGCTGTGAATCAGCTTTAGGGTTACATTATGCTATGACCTGGGTCTCCACCCTTTTTTCCTCTGAGAGCTCCTCATGTCTTATATTACTGGTTACATTTATTCACACATTGTATCAATACACTCAAACTGAACTCACATCAGTCATGATTCAGTCAGACCTGAATACACAGACATGAAAACACCACAGTAAATAAACCTCCATAAGTCTGATTAGAGATCAGAGAAAGAAGAAGCTCCTCAGTCAGTGATCAGTGACAGCTGTCACTACATCAATGGTTCATAACAGACAGAAAGTTAGATCATTCACTACACTTCATCTTACAAAATGTAAACAAACATTGGGAAAATAGAAAAAAGTTGATATCTGTTGTGTTATCAGAAGCGTTGCTATAACTGCATGTGGCCTTCAGCTGATCTGATGTAAACAAACTTATTTGACTGGCAACTGACAGATAATGATGTGGTATTGGGTGTTGGGGTGGGCTGGGGCAGATTTACTGAGTGAAGTTATGTTGCTTAAACTTTGAACTACACATCCATGGTTTGTACAAACTATATTCTCCGAACCTTTGTTGTGAGCTACTGTAAAACAGGGGGAGCTACTGGTAACTCACAAGCCAACTGTTGGAGACCCCCGTGCTATGAACATTGCAAATAAATATTTGAAAACTGTTTAATGTTGAATGGTACTGCAGTTCCCATCAGCCTCAGCAAATGTCCCTCTGAGGCCTTGGGGACACATCAGTACACTTACCCCAACTTCATGAATTCATGATTTAACACTTGCGCCTCACCTTAGGTCCAGGTAGTCCTTTCCCTTCAGGTCCTGTCTCTCCTTGCACTCCTGCTAAGCCAGGCAGTCCCTGATGATCAAGGATAGGTTGTTCATTCGTCATCCTTTCTTTCTTATTCATTGAATACAAGCGCAACTGTACCCTTAATGTTTGATGACTGTTCCTTCTTACCTGTGGTCCTGGGAGGCCATCTCCCTTCATCCCCGGTGGCCCAACAGGCCCAGTATTTCCTTTGGTACCCTGAAAAGGAATCATGAGGACAGTAAAAACACTGTCGGGGATGAACACAGCAAGAAAAGAAATAGGGACGTGACAAATTAAAGGAAAACCAACATAGAGTCTCAGTCAGGTGTTGTTCCACCACATGCTGCCAGCGCAGCTTCAGTGCTCCTTGGCACTGATTCTTCAGGTCTCTAAACTCTACTGGAGGATGAACCATTCTTCATAAACATATTCATCATGTGGTGTTTAAATGATGGTGGTGGAGAGCGCTGTCTAACACGCCGCTCCAACACGCTGCTCCAACATCTGATACCTGCTGTATGCTCACATTATAGAGGCCTGGTGATTCTACAAAGCAATGTCAATAAGGTTTCTCTGATTCTGATTGTTCGTGTCTTTGGATAAGGAAGATGTCAAGAAATATGTGACATCAGCATATACAGTACAGCACTGCTACATAGCTGAAGCAGGTTCCATAGTGTACAAATGTGTGATGTATTGATAGGATGATTATATTGTGCTTGTGTTCAGGAGATCCTTTGTCCCCACTACCATCAGATTGTATACCTCAACACCTCAACCAAAGGAAGTATATTTATTGATACTAATGAGCTGCTGGACACCTGAATTTCCCCATCTATCTATCTGTTACCTTTGGTCCAATGATTCCTATTCCAGGTTCTCCCACTGGTCCAGCTGCTCCTATAGGCCCAGGATCTCCCTGTTATATGGACAAGAGAACACACATACTGACTGAATAAATAAGGTTCATAATATAAGCAGTACATTTTATTTATTTATTTATATACGACATATAAAAATAATTTAAAATTTTGTTTTGTGCTGTGTATCAGGACACTGCAAGAAAACAGTGGTAAACAGTTTAGTCATTGTTCTAAACCAGGGCACAGTCTATATTAACATGTAAGCAACCAGAACGACTCTGGTAATGATTTGAAAAATGAACGTCAAGCGTCTTTGGCATACTTATCCATTACTCCATTATATCTGGACACCTGCTCCTGCTTACATAGCCTCGATGCGGGGTCCCCCAAGGCTCTGCCCTTGACCCCATTCTTTTTACCATCTACATGCTGTCCTTAGGTAAAATCATTCAGAAACGTAACATCTCTTACCACTGTTACGCTGATGACACTCTATCTTGAGAGAGAGTGCCTTGAGGATATAAAAGCCTGGAAAGCTCTAAACCACCTTCAGCTGAACCAGGAAAATTCTGAAGAAGTTCTTCTTGGCCCCCAGGACTCCATTGTCTCGATCACCAGTAACCTCGGCCATCTTTCCACCTATATTAAGCCCTACACCAAAAACCATGGCATAATCTTTGACTCTGCCTTCAAGTTCTTCCTCTCATTTACTGACTTACAAAAAGTCATCCATGCTCTTATATCCTTCAGGCTTGACCACTGTAACTGCCTGTACTCTGGAATCAGTCAGTTGTCCTTGTCTCGCCTGCAACTAGTCCAGAACGCTGTGCCCGGCTTTTGACTGGTTCTATGGGGACAGATCACATTACTCCTACTTTGGCCTCTCTCCGTTGGCCTCACTGTCCCTCGCACTAACCTTAAACACAGAGTGGCCCCCAGACTGTGGAATATCCTGCCCATATCTATCAGATCTGCTCCATCCATCGACTCCTTCAAATCCAAGCTCAAAACACTTTTATACTCAGTAGTGTTCGACCCAAGATCAGTTGTCTCCCTCATTTCAGTCTGCTTGCTTGTTTTTGTCATGCTGTTTTTATTATCTGTTGATGTTTTTGTTTCTCTGTGTTGTTTGTGTTTTCTAAGTGTTCCAAGTGTACAGCACTTTGGTCAACTGTTTGCTGTTTTTCACTGTGTTCTGATTTGATTTGATTTGATTTGATTTGATTTGATTTGATTTGATTTGATTTGATTTGATTTGATTTGAAGTGACCCCTTGTGGTCTGCTAGTAAATTTGATAAAATATCATGTTTTAAATACTAAATTACTGTCTGTCAGTGACCACAAAGCCTGGTCATGAGTCACAAACAAGAGAGATGACACAAATGAATTTGCAACAGCCATCTGTTTGTGGTTAAGGCTGCATTGTCCGCATCTTGAATAATGAAAAATGTCATGACTGTGCAGGTGCACCATGCATGTTTAACTGTGTACATGAAGGAAAAGTAGTTTTAGGTCTTATTTTCAGTAGTTATGGTCGTCATTAATTTTCTCACAAACTCGATGCTCAATAGGAGTCAGAGCAGGAACTTTACCTTCCTGTGGTTAATCTGTAATTGCATAGAGAAACTGTGTGCACACAATGACAGTGAATACACAAGGTCAAGGTCAAACAGAGAGGGAGTCTGTAATATCCACCACATTCATGTTTGCCTTTTACTGGTGAATGAAAACGTGTGTGTGTGCTACCTGGGTGTCATTACCTTTGGTCCTGGTAAGCCACGTCCAGCAGGTCCGGGTAAGCCCACCAATCCTAGGCTGCCAGGTTCTCCCTGAACACAACAGTCAAACATTAAGCTGCCAGCAGATAAAACCGTCCTGTCAAGATTCCACAACAGCTTCTTCAGCAATATTTTGCATTAAAGCTTCTAATAAGTTATTTTTTTCCAGTGTTCTGAAGCTATCATGTCTAAAATTCATTGTTACAACCCGCAGAAAAACATAACCATAGCATTTGTGATGTCACCTGCTTGTGTCTGCACATTTTCATTCTTTGGTCTTTTGCTTCTGTCATCTCAGAAGTTACTGCGCACACATACAGAAATGTAATATATGACTTATGCGTCCCTATTAGGGTTGTCACAATATTAGAATTTCAAACTTGGATACTGATACCCAGGAAAATAGCTGATACTCAATAGCATTTTCGATACCACAGGGAGAAAAAATGACCCTAACCCTTTTTAAAAAAAATTAAGATTAGAACAATACAAACAATAACATCAATACCACACTATTTTTAGGTTGTCTGAGGTAGTGTACAAGAAACAAAAGTGTAAGGTGTATATATGTGACATGCAAATGTATTCAGCTACAGCCCTGTTTATTGTCTGTGCTTCTGGTGGCTTGGCACCATATTTTCGTTGCTGATCAAATAGAGTTGTAGGGTAGGCTGCTGTTGTTTCTGTCTAGTTGCTGGTCGACTTTTCTCAGCTTCAATCTGGGACTTTAAGAGAAATATAACACTTTTCAGACACAAATAACTGTATTATCCTGTTAAATTAACACTGTCTATTAACATTACAGATGGGCAGGACTGATAATGTTTTCTGCCAAGCTCCCACATTAATGTTTGTTGTTTTATTATTTTATCATTAGCCATAGCCACTAGCTTAATGATAACTTAACAGACAACTGATGTGGCAATCGGCTAATTGCTAATAGTTAAATGGCTAACGTTAAACAGTGCTTTTGCTTTTTTCATTTTCAACTAAAACAGGTTGCGAAAGTCTTGCCATGTTAATTTAGTTTTATGCTGTTGACACCAGCTCAGTGTTGTGAACGTCAACTAGCATTCACTGTGTTCAGCTGCTAGTGAGAGGAAAGGCTGTGTGCCTGCCTGTCTGCAGTGCTGCTGTATGAAGCTGTGTGTCAACTGGAGGAGGCGAAGACGGCACTACTGTTATCGATACTGTTGCAAATGAGTATCTAATCCGATACTAATTTTTAGTATAGATTAATATTGATTTTTTTTGACAACCTTAGTCCCTATATAGTGATGTTGCCATACATACTTGTATCATTATTACATATCCTCTGGATATATAAATGCACTGCTCAAAAAAATTAGGGGAACACTTAATCATCACAGTATAACACCAAGTCAGTTAAACGTCAGGTATATCAATCTGTCCATTTAGGACGCACAAGTGATTGTGAATCTGTGAATTTCACCTGCTTTGGTGCAAATTAAAGTGACAACAGGTGTCTGACTGATCCAATAAAAATATAGCAGATTTCAGATTTCACTCATACAAACCAAATCCTGCAAGGTTGGATGTGTGGCTGAGAGCGGTGACTGGCTCAGTTTGTGAATACAGGCTGTGTGCATTCCTATAATCAAAAAACACATGGACATCTACCTTTATACTAAATGGATCGTATGGATCAAAATGACTATATGTAATGTGAAAGGGGTTGCTCTTAGTGATCGACCCACAGACAATTATCACGAGCATTGTTTTGGTTTTATGACCCACAGCTTTGCCATTTAGTTCAGTCTGACGGTTCTCATCAACCTTGTACAATCGTTTTTTATAAGACTGCTACAGTGTTCCCCCTGGCTACAGACTGGAGGTGAAAACGTTAAACTGGTGTAGCTTCAACTTGACTGTGGACTTCAAAAGTGGAAGTTTCCAGCTGTCGTGTGGGACTACTACAGAGCCCCTAAAGCCCTGAAAGGTGATATTTTTTATCTGTTATATGCGTAGTAGTAAGTAGTGGAAACAAATATCTGTATAGTAATGGCATTAGAGGCCTATACCTTGGAGACCACAGGTATAAGTTGCGTTTAAAGCGTTAAAGAGTTTGTTGATTTCTCAGCTTACAATACACCCAGTAATTCACACACCAAAAGGTTTTGAATGATGAATCAATGTGCCAGAGGTAATTGGGTCCCTTTGTGAAGTACTGTTTCCTGTGAAGTCTGTATATTGGAACCTCAGGATCCAGCACAGCTAATATGACTCTAACTTCTTCTTTTTTCACTTTAAGGCCATTTACATCCATCTATCTCCATGCGTCTTCCCCGGACCCTGTGATTGTTCCTGGATGAAGTCAATGACAACCTAACTCTGTGTAGTCCTTCTGTTGGCTGAGCCTGTATGACATTCCAAGATTAAAATAAAACTTGATTAGCTGAGCTCTCTCCATTATGGAGGCTGTGTGCATCTGAAGTTGTAATAGACACATATACATTTATAGTAAATTAACTTGTGATGACATGATAATAACTTCTGATAATAACTGCTGATCTGATCTTAAACCTCTGTGACTGTAACAGCTATCTGAACATGACCTTAGCTGAGTCCCTGAAATGCTGGATGTCCCACCTACAGCAAGCAGACATATGAACCTGACATGAGTAACCTGTATTTAACAGACCTTAGCTCCAGCAGGGCCGACGGGGCCTGGAGAGCCTGACAGTCCCCTTGGCCCACGGTCACCTCTATCTCCCTGTGGAAGAACACACAGACGCGCGCACACACATACACACACACACATGCAAGCACGCACACGCGCACGCACACACACACACACACACACACACACACACACACACACACACACACACACACATATACTGTAACAGGAAGCAAAGCTCACCTATGCCTCGGCTCTGAAAGGTAAATACAGCTAAATACAATGATTCACTTGGTCAACTTGGCCTAAGTCAATGAAGCCACTGTCAGTGCTGGTATGTAAATATGTACCTAAAGCACTTGAATTAAATGATTTACATATGTGTTTTTACAGCGTGCATGTCCAGAAATATCGCATGTGAGGGCTCTGAAAACAAACGTGTTCATGTTGAACACACAGCAGTAAGGAGACTGGGACTAGAACACATGGGCAGCAGCTGCACTGTGAGCGACTAAAGATTACCTTTTCTCCAGGGATACCTTTACCCAGTGCTCCCTCTTGGCCATGCAGACCTGGCAACCCCATCTCTCCCTAGATTAAACACCAGATGAACCAGCATCACAGCATGAAACAAAATGACATTTTCTATTGAATGGCAAGCTGGTTAGTAAGTGGTCTGAAAATTACAGTTCACGTCAGGTAAGATGAAATGATGAGAAGATAAACTGTGAGCTGATATGGCATATTTCCATGAGGCGGGAGCTGCCGGAGGAAGGCTGCGTTATCAAATTCCAGCAGTCACCAATGCTATTATAACAGTAACATGACCAGCAGATCTACACACAGCAGTGCTATGTAAATATACAGCAGTGCTATGTAAATAGTGGCTGATATTTGAAACTGCAGTAGAAGAACATGTTTAATGTCTTCCAGCTCAGTCAGGTCAGTCCCTCACACATTTTAGAATAAAACTGGTCAGACACTTGATAAAATGTTGGTATGAGGCAATCACTAGTTAAAAGGTGGAGCATTTCATCTCTAGATCAGTGGTTCCCAACCTGTGGGCCATGAGGTATTACAAGAGGGCTGACTAATCATTTGGCAAACAGTATAATTTTGGTGAAAAGATGTAATTTTAAAAATATGTAATTAATAAAAATATATAAATAATGTTTTAAAACAAAATGATCCTTAGAAACTTAAAAAATGTTTTAAAAAAAACTCCTTTCACTGTTTTTTTGTCCTTCTTGTATTAAGACTCATTGCTGTGATAAGCAAATGATAGTAAGACAAGCAATCCCCATCCCCACCCCCAACCCATCAAACAAAAAAGAAAAATTGAGCTTCCCCTGCTTTTAGTTCAGTCTTGAATGTTCAATCATTATCATTACAATAAAAATGTTGTGAGTGTCATTATTTGGCCTTCATTTTGTTATGTGGGCATTTTTGAAATTTTCCAGTGGGCCATGAGTTTGGAAAAAGTTGGGACACACTGCCGTAGATTAAACAACGCATGAAACAGCATCACAGCATCACAGCATTAAACAAAGTGACATTTTCTTCTGAATGACAAGCTGGTTAGTAATGTAAGTGCTGTGGAAATGAAAGTTCACTTCAGGAAAAGATGAAATGATGAGAAGATAAACTTTGAGCTCATATAGCACATTGCTGTAAGGGGAGGAGCTGCAGCAGGATGGCTGTGTTTTAAAATTCTGGATTTTTTGTCTAGATTTCTGCGTCCTCCACCTTTAACATATCAGTGTGATGATGCAGGTAATTAAGTTATTAACATTATTTGCTCTATTCACTAACAAACATCAGTGTACTGAAATGAACAGCTGCACTCAGGCAACTTCTGTTATAAGCTCATATTGTTTATACCTCCCATGCATTACAAACACTGAAGTCACAGAGGTAACCATCAGTTTGTCAAACATATACCTGTGATGATTGTGTAATTGCTCTGAAGGTACTTCCAGAACCAAACCTGTTTAACCTGATTCCCTGTGCTACAAATTAAAACGGCTGGCACCTGGACAAGAAACAGAGGTGCAGTGGGAGGTGATTTTTTACAACCTACTGGTCTCTTCAGACTCCACCTGTTCATTATATTTTAAAGAAACAGAGGGTTACCTCTGTGACCCAAATCTATGGTCATATACTGTATATTGTTAGATTATCATTATTATATTATACACATAAAGAAAACAAAATACCAGTATGTTCTGAGGCGGTCAGAGTTAAAAGACAAGTCAATAGGTGGAGCACTTCCCTTTTGCTGAAACACATAACGTCATACATAATCCTTTCATTTCTACCCATTTAAACTGGAACTGTGTGTGTTCAGTCTCTTAACTGCAAATTGAACCTTCAGTCACTGACTCACCTTAGGCCCAGCAGCTCCATCCTCACCAGGAATACCAGGTATCCCAGCAGCCCCATCGGGTCCTGGCTCCCCCTGGAAAACCACACGTACATAAACTCACAACATGTATTGATTCCACTGTGTTTTTGTGTATGTATACAAAAGGAGTTTGGCTGCCTTGCCTTTGGTCCTGGCTCACCAACACCTCTCTCTCCCTGAGGTCCAGGTTCACCAGGGAAACCCTGGTCACCCTGGAAAACAACACAAATCAGTGACTGAAAGTCGCGTCTGATGACTAAAATTTTTCATCCAGTTAAAATAAACAGTTAAAAATGACCAAGATCTAAAACGTGTATCATAAAAATGAGGCTTAAAACTGGATAATATTCCATTTTGAGCTTTTGGCAACCACAACAGTGATGCACGCACAAAGGAGACATGACGCCATCAACCAGTCCTCCAACACGACCCATAGGAGTGTCTCATGAAATGGCCCCCTACAGCCGCCGGTGTAGTGGATCTTGGTTGTCAAGAGACAAAGTCCACGTCAGGAGGAGGTTGTGGTGGTTGAATGAATATGACACAGGAGAGCGGTGTTCCATTCCCATGTGAAAGTAGCAGTTTATATGTTGTTGATATTATCCATGAGTGCTAATCATGTTGTTATTAATAATAATAAACACATAGACTGTACCGACAATGGCGTACCAACCTTCGTACTATAATAACAGTCATGGTTACAATAAGTACTTCCTCAACATTAGACGATCTTTGTTGTCATGGTTACAAAAATAACAACATGATTAACGTTAATAACGAACGATAATAGAAACAACATGAACTGCCACTTTCTCATGGGAATGGAACACCGCTCTCCTGTGTCGTATTCATCCATCCACCACAACCTCCTCCTGACATGGACTTTGTCTCTTTATACTACGTCACCACACTTTTCCCTTTGCTCCTGTCATCATTACTACCACCACTAGATGTTGCCTAGCAACAAAACTATGGGTCAAAGTGACCTGCTGCACAGACTCGTTTTTTACAGGACAGTCTTGAAGCCATTGAAAGGCCACCAAGTGGAATGGACCGTTACCTTGATTAAATTGATTCAATTTGTGGAAACATTTCTGATAATGTAAGAACACAACTCAACCAAATATATAACATCAGTCTACCTGTTTTTAAACATTTTAATGCAGACACATTACATATTATAACTTTGAGTAAACTGAGAACTGAGTATTTATTCCAGCACTGACTGTAAATGCTAAAATGGAGAAGTGAATCATCAAACAGACTCAGTCGCACATTATTTATCTAAACTTTGCTTTCAGATAACATCAGCCAACAGAAACCTTTGGTCATAACAGATCAAGTAAGGCTGTAGCAGAAAAGTGTACTGAATTGAGTATGAATGTCTTTAATGTTTATGAATTCAGTCCTTAATTACATTATTATGATAATTATTATTTATTATTATTATTTACACAGTCTTGCTTTAAAGCAAAGTATTGTACTGTGTATTTACCATATATATTCTAATGAATGTCATAGAAAGTTTGATGGCTGTTTAACATATCACTCATAATTCATATAAAAGCGACATTGTCAGTTCTCCACTGGTCCTATGCTACTAACCTTTGGTCCAACTATACCCAATCCAGGAGGTCCCCTGGGACCAGAAGGCCCAGCAGGCCCTTGGTCCCCCTAAGACAGGGAGAAAAATCAGAATTTAAGTTTATGTAGTTTCACAAATAAAGAATATAGAGTGGAAGAAAACGCTTCCGTTTTCATTGTCCTTGCCTTTTCTCCTTGGATACCCGCCCCTGGAAACCCCACCAAACCTGGTAGCCCGGGGGCTCCTGTGTTTCCCTGACAGTCAGACATGTAAGAGGTCAGACAGGTCATCCTTTACAGCATCACAGTGTTGCAGTATACATGTGTCTGTAAGCAAAACCACCATAAACCATTATCCATACCTTATCACCTTTGTACCCCAATCCTGGAGATCCACGGCTGCCCTTAGGACCTTCATACCCCCTGTCACCCTGAAAGAAACACACTGGCGGTGGTAAGAGAAGAGGAAGGCCTGGAAGGATCTTAAGAGTCAAACAATACAACCATAATTATACCTTTACTATTTAATATCCAATAATTATGAGTCACAGGACACCAGAGCAGACAGCAGTGAAGTTACATTAGTGAATTTTCTATCAAATAAAGTAAGAAATCATTATAATAAAAACCATGTTAGCTGTAATGAAGGTGTTTGTCCTGGAACTTACCTTGGGTCCTGGGAGACCCTCACCTGGAAACCCTGGAGATCCTTGCATCCCTGGTGGCCCTGCTGGTCCCTGGACACATCAATACAGATGTAGTGAATGTTAAATAGTGAATTAAGAGAGATAACATTAGCTGTCACTGTACTGACTGAGTGTTTAATAATATAACATGAATAAAAATCCAAGGTGATTTGTTGCGGACAATAGAGCTACTGTGTTGTTTACTACCCACACTAATCCATTTTAAATATGTCTATATACAACACAACCTTGAACCCTTAAATTCACATCTGGTCCAATAATGGGATGCTGACAGTGATGTCGGCTAGCAGGTATGGTGGCCCTGAGGGCTCAACCAAATGCAACTGAAGAAAACACATGGAAATAGACAAAACACAAACAACTTGCATTGTTACATTTGACAACACATGTGCTGCAAATACTGACAACACGATGGAAGTGTTTCCAGGGGACACTAAAAAGTGATGAGGGGCGGATGCATATAAGTTCAGTTTGTCTTTTAGATGGAATAAAGCACTTAGGGTAAACAATATATTAGCAGTTTTTCATTGTCTACATTCCAACACAGTGGACTGGAACAAAACAAAAAATATATTTATAAAGGCTTCGCTTTGATGGATTATAATATGTTACCAAATTACCCATCCATACTGATTAGAGGTTCAGTAATAATGTCTAAATAACGTGTCTTTAGTATTGATGTCAGCAGCCCACAGGTATGGTGTTATGGTATGTGTTCGAATAGATCAGCTATAAGAGCAGAACCTGGAGTTTCACTTAGTTTTATGAACTCACCATTGTCCCTGGTTCACCCATACCCATAGGTCCAGGTGGACCTGGTCTCCCGTGGTTCCCCTTGTCACCCTGAAAAATAAAGTGTAAAGATTAGCAATAGATAGTGAGGAATACACAGGATATGTATTGGCCTTCCTGCAGATAGATTATTTAATCCAATACTAAACCTAATTTAAATTTACCTTGGCACCAGGGAACCCAACACCATTATCTCCTGGAGGTCCAGGTGCACCCCTTGGTCCTCGCTCACCCTTTAAAGGAATGGAAAATGAACTTACAAACATGGCCATAGTTCTAACCTGTGAATTTAATGAACCATTTAATGCATCTAAAACTTGATTCCCAGGGTTCTTACTTTAGAGCCAGATGGCCCCTCTTGACCCTGGTCTCCAGGTCCTCCTATGGCTCCCTGACATAGGAGCGAAACAGGAAAGGGAAAGTAATTACATTTGATTCAACAAATAACATAAAATGAAGTTAATTTTAAAAAGATAAACCATTATGTTTTTTAACATTGGTATACAAATACTTAGCAGTGTTTGCCTTTAGTACAGTTAAAGCTAAGGTCAGACAGGTGCTGAAGGGTTGTACTGTTTCTTCTCCTTTTTCTTTTGGAAAGGACAGTTACCTCAACGTCCCTGTAGTGGTGATTGAGAGTTTCTTCAACTGCACCATCCAAGTACACATGGTCATACTTATTGGTTATTGGTGTGCACAAAATAGGAAACTTGGATCTGAACACTGTTGGCATTCTAAAACATCACATCATGGTCTTGCATCTTTGAGTTTATTTACCATAAATGACATGTGCTTTGCATTGGTGACATATACCACAGCATGCTGTGGTGTTAGAAGAGCACTCCACCAAGCAGCTAACTCCCACAACATTAGGAAAAAGATCCAAATAAATGCAGCAGAACCATCATCTCTACTCCAAGCATTCCTCTTCCTTGTGCCCCCATTACCCACAATGCAACTCAACAAGTTTGGTCAGAGGTTCAGGTGTGTTATGCTGGTGGCAGGTTATGTGGCCTGGGATCTCTGGCCTCAGGCAGAGATGAGGAGTGAGAATTCCACACCCCTGGACTTATTTCATTTCCAGAGCCCACGCCGACTCAAGTGACATCACTTGAGGACAGATGTCAGATGTCACACAGCTCCCCCTGCAGACACTAAATGCTTTACACTTTCTTCCTCATATGCATTAGTATTCCTAAAAACACATGGAAACACACTTTGATATGTACAAGTGAACCTGGTTATTCAGACATCCAGACAAACGTTACTCTCCATTCATTCAAATCACCTGAGACAGTTTTGAAACATGGGCTGAGCATGTTTTCATTTAACTGCTGAATCATATGTGCCAGACATGTTTGACATGTACAACATTGGGAATCTGCTGGTGAGCTGTGACTGCCCTCTGCTGGAGGAGTGTGGCTTCATTGTATGAATATCTGAGTCACATGGAGCTTTGTCCTCGGGTGACAGAAATCCACAGAAATTCAACATATCATGAAAAAGCTTATGAATCATGTAACTTTAATATTATTTGTCAAAACCATCAGGGCTTTTGTCAGATGACCTATCTGATCTCATTACCATGCATTACCTAAATAATAAACTCTAAAAAGACATAATATTAACTGTGATACATTAGATGACTGAAGCGAGTACCATATTTCTCTAGGAAGGCTCCAGGAAATAGACTCCTCAAACCAAATCATTTCTATTCTAGTCCTGAACCTTTTAGGACTAACCCAGGCTCCTGTTCTGTATCTTCAGGTAAAACTTTGACTCGGGAAATATGAAGTCGAAAAGATGTGATTTGTTGTAAATGAGCCAAAATAAACCAGCTGTTTCTTTAAATTGATCTCAAGTCAAACTGATACCAACTATGAGGCTTGTTTGAACTGCTGACACCTGGTGGATCCTGATACTTTGATGGTGAATGCTTTGGTATAATAAAAGGGACTGAAGTGTAGGTAGATTTCCTGGGAACTGGAGACAGATCACATGGACATAAAACCTAATGGCACTCAGATGGTGGGTGCTGTTGTTCTACCGATGCTGAAGGGGGCAACAAGCATTTAAGGAGAGAGGGAATGGATAACATGTGCCCAAATCCTAATCCATTGGGACAACGTCTGCCAAAAGACTACAACTAAACATTGCAAGCTTGAATTCCCTGCTTTAGAAAGGCTACATTAGGAGCGGGATAAGACCTAATCCACAACTCACATTCCACAAGTGCAGAGCAGAGGATGGACTCTGAGTGTGTGGCTCTCCACGTGACTCACTCGATTGTTTCAGCGTGGGCACATGGAGGGGGTGGGGATTAGGCTTGTCGGTGTCCTAGCCGGGCAGTGGGGGGTGGGTGTTAGGCTGGGTGGGGGGCACAGGAATCTTTCAATTTGACCACACACCCGTTCAGATATGAGGCTAATACAAATAGTTATCTGCAATTTTTACACTAACCCATATGTTTTATAGGTGTGCCACACGATGGTGATTTCAGGCTTTAAAATCAACGTTGAAGGTTGTTGTTAGCTGAAAATGGCCACACACAATCACCCTTTCCTCAGTCACCCCCCCCCCCCCCCGAAAGTCTAGACATTCTTGCTCCACTGCGTTGAATGAATCATTTCTTAAAGGGAAGGTTCAACATTTTAGGAAATGCACGTACTCACTTTGTTTCTGAGGTTCAGGATGTACAGTAGCCTACCTTAGTATAAAGTCAGCTGGCCTGGCTCTGTCCAAAATATAAAACACCTACGAACACATCCAATGTTTACTAATTAACACAAAATATTTGTTGTTTAACCTGTTCACAAACAGAAATGTAAATACACTTATTTGTGGTTTTAAGCGGAGTTACATGCTGGAACAATAGTTCATCCATCTGCCCAGTGCTTCTGAAAACCATTTCTGTGAATGGCACATGTTGCCAGATAAGCACAGGTTATGGTCTCTGTATAGGCACAATGGTAACCTTACTATAATAACAACATTTTGGGATGGTGTGCACACTCACTGCACTTGGCTGTTGTTTGGGGAAAAAATTGTTCATAAACCTAAAACCATATAGTTTTCTATGTCTGTCTGTGTACAGATGAAACAAACCTGAGGGTGTTACTCAGTGACCTTTAAATGTGTTTGTAGGCAATTAATTCAACTGTGGACAGAGCCAGGCTAGCTGCTTCCCCCTGCTTCCAAGTTGCAGCTAACTGCATCTTGACTGAATTGCATTCAAGTACATCAAGTACATTCAAGTTATCAAGTAATCTACTCGATATGAAAGAGCTACTGTAGTGACAGTAACACTGATTAGAATGATAAAGATTGACTTCTTGTTAATTATAAACAATAGAAGCTATGAACTTATTATTAGAATCTAAATCACACGGTATATTGTGGGTCTATATTTAATCATTTAAAAATGATATGATATATGGAAAAATTGAAAAGCTTTACCTGTTCTCCTCTGGGGCCTCTGGGGCCAGGAGGTCCATCTGCACCCTAAGGAAAAACCTTAATACAATATCACTACATTTATGCACAGTACCTGGTCACAGCAGCAGACATCATGGCAATTAAATAAATATAAAAAAGAAACCTACTTGTTGTCCCTTTTTACCGGGGGCACCGCATTCACCCTGTTCTCCCTAGAAAATACGATAATATGATAGTAATATATTAATAATATGATAATAATATGAGGAAACAGATAAAGCTTAATCTGGGCTATGAACCAAATCAAACTGTCTGACACTGAAGTTCTGCACTGAAAATATGAGATACATGTTTATATGTTCTTTATGATATCTGCACACACAGTGCTGAGCAATCACACAAAAACAGAAGAATGGGTGATAACAGTGCATACCTTTTCCCCTTTGCTCCCAGGTTGACCCTTTAAACAGAGAAAAGTTCAATTCAACTTTTCCAGAGTTTAGAGCAGAAAAATGGTCATGCTAAAAGAAAACCTCAACCAGTCAGATCTTTATCAAATTTTCAATTATAAACAAAGGTCTGTAGTGACAGAGGTGCTATGTCATTCAGTTAGTCATTGATAGACATTCACAACCTCAGAGAATATACATATGTGGGTCTATATTGTGTACACACACACACACACATACACACACACACACACATACCACTTGTTAGGTGTTTCTGTCTGACTCATGATTGGTGAGCTTTTCTCCAGTCACTGAACACAGTCAGTCCAGTGGCCCACAGCCACATGAGAGCACACTTAGAAATATTAGCAGCTCTCATCAACAAAGAGATTCATGGTGTGTCCAAAGACCGGTACATTTGACAATAGGTGCTTTTTGAAAAAAAAGAAAGAGTCTTAAAAGTCACCGGATCTTTTGAGATGTTGCTAGTTCGGCAACACTGTGCCTCTGTGTCATAGCTGGAGACACTATTTCTGTGTTGCAGCTAAAGTCCTAAACAGTTTTTCATCAAGAAATAGAACAAATTGTTGTTTTTACAGTTCTTTAAACAGAACAGTGCGCTAAATAATGAGCTTTAGAGGGGAAACACTGCAATAAAAGATCCAATACAGTCAGTTTGGAGCAGCATAAAATACTCACAGACTGACATGACAGCTGAAATCCCTGTAACCCCAACAAGAGAAGGTTAAGAAAAACATTTGATGATTACCTCAAGGCCCTCAATTCCTGGACGTCCGTTAATACCAGGTTCCCCCTACAGTGACCAGGCCCAGACAAAACAGTACATCAAACAAAACTTCATAGATTCTTTCGGTTACCAGCACTGGATTATGGAGACAATAGAGACTTACACGAGATCCCTTTGGGCCGGGCGCTCCATCAGACCCCAGGTCCCCTGGTTTCCCCTAGATGACAATAAATGTGAGATTGTGCAGAATGAGAATATTTGGGCCCCTTTTACGTTTGAGCTTTGTGTATGTATAGGCAAAGGTGGGACGGGGCATTCTCAGTGTGACCTGTCTGTAACCCCTGTCCAACATAAACCACCATCTCGGTGTAGCAGATTCTCAGATCATTACAGCCTGTGTGTTTGCTCATGCTTAATCTTCCATCCTTGACCTTTGCTTTTTTCCAAGGGCCTCTGTTCAATAGGACTGTCAGTGAAAACAGCCCTTTCAGCCGCCCCTCTGGCCACCTGCTACACTTGCATTGTGGGAAACATTTCCTGCCCTTTCACATTTTTTTTCACTGTAGTGCTTTGGATGCAGGCCAGACACACCTGCTGGCACAGGCTGCCAGCTCGGGCGCACGGCTCGGAGAATGCCACTGTGTGTGGCTGAGGAAATGACTGTCAACCTGAAGCCAGCAGACACTACAACAGCCAGTCAGTCTGCTGGTACAGATATAGACACACTGTGCACTGGTATTACTGCAGCCTGTAAAAAGACTAAAAGCCCTGCATGAAAAAGGTAAAAGTAGATAAGTATTAGCAGCAATAATGTAATTAAAGTATAAATATATATAAAGTCATGGCTAGCTCCCTCTGACTCATATATTATTATATATGACATCATTGGATGGTTAATATTGAAGCATCAGTGTGTCAGTTTGTTTGTTTGTTTCATCTTAAAAGTAATTAATAACTGTCAATGAGCTGTCAAATAAATGTAGTAGAGTACAAAGGACAATATTTCCCTCTAAGATGAGTGGAAGTGTAAAGCAGCATAAAATGGAAATACTCAAGTAAAGTACAAGCACCTCAAAACTGTACTACTTGTTAGCTGGTAGGTAACACGTCAGTTCATCTGATTAAGTATTGCTGTTTCGGGGGCACCTCGGTGGCGCACCTGGCAGAGTGCGTACCACATAGGCTTAGTCCTAACCGCAGCGGCATGTCATCTACATGTCTACATGTCATCCCCTACATGTCATCCCCTCTCCCTGAATTTCCTGTCAAATTCTCACCGTGCTGTCAAAAATAAAGTCAAAGGTGCCCAAAAATATATATAAAAAGAGAATTGCTATTTTGATGAGTCTTGGATCATCACTGATTCCATCGCTCTTTCTTGACCACATTTGCTCACTAGACAATGAAATGTATCTGATCCGACTGAGACTGAGCAACTGCCAACCTGACATTTCACACACACACACACACACACACACACACAGACACACACCCGATACACATCCCATCAGTTGAGCTTCCCCTCATTGTGACTGCAGAAGACGTGAGACATCAGCCTCCACAGGGCTGCAGGCCTGGACAACATCCCAGGCCAGGTCCTTAGGGACTGTGCATACCAGCTCTCAGAGGTGCTGACAGACACCTTCAACTCCTCACTGTCCCAACACGCCTCAATACTGCAACTGTTATCCTCGTCCCAACGAGCTCAGCATGTCATGCCTGATGTATTTCCTAGTAGCACTCACCCCAATAATCATGACGTGCTTCAATCGGCTGGTCATGAAGAAGACCATTGCTGTCACAGTGGACTCCCACCCATTGCATACAGACACAACCGCTCTACTGCAGGTGCCATTTCATCTGTGGTTCACCTGGTCCTCCCTCACTGGGAGAGCAAGGATTCCTATGTTAGACGGCTCTTCTTGGACTTCAGTTTGTAGATGACATGGTAGTGATGGGGCACTCTCAGTGGTGAGTCCAAGTATAGACTAGAAATACCTCCTCACTGTTGTATTCCTCCTCCACTCAGGCTAGTTTCAGGTCACATCCCTGTTTATCCAGAGTCATAGAAAATATGAACCCTTTGTGTGAAGTTTGTCATAATTGCTGTGAAGTCTTGAGTTATGGCTAAAGTGTTTGGTGATGTCACACTGACCTTTGACCTTTGATCACCAAAATCTAATCAGTTCATCCTTGAGTCCTACTGAATGTTTGTGCCAAATTTGAAGAAGTTCCGTCAAGGCGTTACTGAGATATTGTGTCCATGAGAATGGGACGAACTAACAACCTGAAAACAAGGTAGAGGTGGTTTCTGGCTTTAAATACATGGGCATGCACATCTCCAATAACCTTAGCTGGAGAAGCAGCACAACCAGTACAGTGAAGAAGGCCCCCCTTCCTGATGAGGGTGAAGTGCACTGGTCTCCTACAGGTGTGTGATGCAGAGCATCCTCACTTCCTGCTTCACCGTGTGCTACGGTAACTCCTCTGCTGCAGACAGAGGAGGCAGGCAGTGCAACAGGTGGTAAAGACTGCACAGCCTACCCAACATCAGCCACATTTACAACAGCAGGTGCAGGAAAAAGGCCCCCTGGATCATGAAGGACTCTACCCACCCAGCCAATGGACCCCTCCCTTCAGGCAGCATCAAGGTTGGGACCACCAGGCTGAGGAACGGTTTCTTCTTGGATGCTGTGAGACTGATTTTGATTCTGCACTTCAAGACTGAAAATTCAGACTCACTGAAAAGTTGCTGCTTCTTCATGGACACTTTGTTGTTTTGATTACTGCTGTTTCATATCAGAGCATTGCTGCATTCTGGGCCTACCTGGCCAACTTTTTTTTATCTTTTAGACATTTACAGTTTTATTCCTTTCCACACAGTCTGCTCATTTAACACTTCTATTTATATATTTATTTACTCATTTTTATTTTTAATGGTGTTTTACTGTGTGCTTTCTTCTTGATTTTATTATTGCTATTACATGAACTGGGACCTGAGTACCTCATTTCATTACCTTTCATGTTCTGAAATGACAGTGAAAACATCCTTATCCTTGATTTGATTGGTTTGCCAATTTTCTGAACAAATTTCAATGGTTGTTATAGCTATTCAGTTTATGGAAATTTCTGAAAGCTGCAATATGACTATGTTTAGGTCTGCAAGAGATTCACAGTGTTAATAAATCTGGTTTATTGTCCATACCTAGATGATACCTGTGTGGTAAGCCTCTGACGCTGCCTTTAGCACCACGCTGATCACACGCAACATACTGCATCTCATAAACTACTGGGCATGCTCTCCATGAACAATCAGGACAAACATTGAATTCTTTTATCCAAGGAGTGGTAAGGTCCAAACAGTTCCAACACATTCAAGCCAGTAGAGGGCCTCAGGACTTGAAGGGGCTATTTTTAAGTTTTTTCTTTTCGCTAAGCGTGGTTTCCTACCGGGTTTGGATAATGGTGATTGCCACTTGACAAGATCTTTGACCATTGTTGTGTTTATAGTACAAGAGGTTGTAATACGTCCTCTGAGCAGCTACATCTTCAGGGCAGATTGGTGGCTGCACTGAGTCACTATCAGAAAGATGGGCTGGGGCTAGCTGGTTAGCATGCTAACTTCAGTAGAAGAAAAGGCATGATAGAGACAAGAGTTAACATTGGTGTTTGTTTCCACCTCTGGAGACAGCTGTTGGTGAGTAAAGAAATGAAGTTTGATGCTGAACTCACAATGTTTCTTCTAGTCTGGTAAGTAAACAGCTGCTAATCCTAAAGTTAGCTATGTAGCAATAGCTAAACTTACATATAGCTCAAATGAGATTTTTGATTTACTCATTACTCATCCTTCAGTTTAAAGTTACCACCTGGTTCCACTCCTAATATTTTAGGTAGTAAGGGACACACAGGATGTATGTTAATAATCAATAATCATTATGGGAGTTAAGTTTAAATGAATAATATAAGAACATAGAGAGTCTGAGACCTCAGTGTCTATAGAAGGTAACATACAATTTAAGTAAAATATTCAGTGTGTGACGTCAGGAGAGATGAGAATGATACTGACAACGATGCAGATATACAATGATTCAGATCAATAGTATATTACTCACAGGAGATCCAGGGTGACCTCTTTCCCCCCTTTCACACAGGCAGGTCTTTGGGTGCGGGCACTAAAACAAAGACATAAGAAATATATGATCCAAAGTCAACAGTGTGCAATATAAAACAAACAAACAACAAAAAAAAAAAAACAAGAATAATTAGCATTAACATTGAGAATCTACGATTTAAATGTTAAAAATCATGTTACTTACCCCAGTTTTCACAACTGTGCTCTGAAAGAAACAAAGAAAGCTAGAATTACTCAGCAATTATGTCTACTGAGTTTTGACTCAGCAAAACACTCAATACTGTAGCACTTAACATTCATATTCACTCATTGATACTGTATCACCCTGTGGAGTTCCCACTGTAAACAAATATAGTTTGAACCTGAATTCAGCATTTGATTTCTGATTTCAACATGTCTGCTGTGAACCAGACCTGTCACCAAAACACACTGTGGTTATTCTTAAAGAAATAATTCTACATTTTGGGAAACAGGCTTATTCACTTTCTGATGGAGAGTCAGATGAGAAGATTGACTCCACCCTCATGTATGCCCATTAAATATATAAATACTGCATAAGGCCTCAGCCAGCAGCCAGTTAGCTAACTGTAACTGGCTACAAAAACGGTGTAAAAATAATTCAGCATTATACCTGTCTCCAGGATGTTACTGGTCAAAGCCAAGAAATAGTCTGACACGTAATGACAACATGTCATTTTAAATGACAAAGCAAAAATGGACAGTTTGTCCATTTACAATAAAATCTACAAAAGTGAAGGGGTCTGAAAACTTTCTGAAGACACTGTACACAACATGTCACTAGTGAACTTAAGAGGTGGTGACAGGCTGATTAGGTTTGTGTTGGACGCATCCAAGCTAGCTGTTAGGCTAACCAGGCTAACTAGCTGCTGGCTGTAACCTTATATTCAACAGAGGTGTAAGTCTCCTCATCCAACACTTGTTTCCCAAAACATTTAAAAACTTAAAGCCATACAAACATGTTCAAGGTATTTTCTACTTCATGAAACATTTTGTGTTTTGAGACCTGCATTGTTTACATCTGGGTTTTTTGCCAGGCGACCCTTCATTTTTACCACTACCACTGTTGTGTGTATTTGTCTGCCTGCTCCTAATCGGTCGGCACTATATGCTTACATGACCCTAAATTTGATATTGTTGCTTTTATTGTTTGTGTTTTATAATATTTTCATTTGATCTGTTTTATTCTTCTATTATTTTTAATACACATAGCCTACATATTATTATTCCTTCTGAGTATGTTTATTTTTTCACTGTTTTTGTGAATGCATCCTTTCCACATAAGGCTTGTTGACTGTTCACATTAAAATCAGCCTGACACATGAAAGGCCTATAGATGTGACTGACCAGTTCATTGAAGAGTCTGTCTTCCATCTGGCTGTCAGCGAGGCTGAATACGTGCTGCTGTGGGGGGGCGCTGGCAATGGAGCGCAGCTTTGCACCCATGGTTCCATCCTTGGTCAGGCCCGACAGCCTGATGGTGAACATCCTGATGTTGTATTGCTTGGCCTCAGCAGCAGCTGTCACAGCGCTGGGGCTGCGAGGGTGGTCCGTTCCATCCGTCATCAGCAGCGCCACCCTCAGGCTGCTGGAAGAAGTCTCGCGGCTGAACACCAGGGTGGCGTTGGTGATGGCGTAGGCAGAGTAGGTACCGTGTCCGATGAAGGTCATGGTGGCCACCCGGCTCTGGAACACGTCCAGATCCTGCCAGTCTCTGAAGTTGTGCTCCACTGAGACCGTGCTGCTGTACTGCAGAGCGGCCAGGCGCAGGCGCAGCCGCCAGCCAGCAGATTGGAGCTGCATGAGCCTGGTGCTGAAACGTAGGATGAACTCCTTCTGTCGCTCAAACAGCAGAGCTTTGGCTTTCTCCGAACTGTCCACAATGAACATAATCTCCACTGGGCAGATCAGGGCTGGCAGCAAAACACAGCAGGAAGTGTTAGGCTACATTGTTCCACCAGCACTGGTGCTCCACTGATATTAGTCCCTCCACCCATTCAACACTTTGATCAACTACATTCGCTGAAAATGAATGGCCAGATTGCTACTAAACGTGATACGAATTATAACAGTAAACAGAGGGTGATTCCTAATGCTTTTAGTAAACCTCTGATCTTTCATCAAACGCTACCACTGGGTTCATTTTGTTCCTGGAACCAACAGACTGGCCCTGCCAATAGTGTTGGATCTGATTCGCTTATTACAGACCTGTTGGTATCAGCACATACTGTATTTGTAAGATCAGTAACAAACCACAAACAAATATCAACTGATATGCTGTATCATTTTTTGTTCTGTCAAATATCAAAATGAGTATTGGCCTCAAGAATTCGACACCTAGGGCTCTGATTTTCAACTAATTCAAGGTGGATAATAATGGTCACCTGAGGATTCAAATACAGAATCATTTTTGTTTACTTTGTTCATCTGCTGTTGCACAAAAGGGTGAAAAAGGCAAAAGACACAAGACACAACTGACGGTTTGGGTTAAGCACAATAATAATGAAACTGTCATAAGGGCCATGGTGTGACAATTCATGAAAATCTGTGTTCCAACCTCAGCTCCTCTTAAACTCTGCATTCAGTCATTCATACCATTCAGTTCATAATGATGCAGTACAAACATCTTTAAACAGTAACTTTAAAGATCAACATTTCTACCTGACTGAGTACCTTTCAGTTTTCCTACCTGAAAGAAACAACATATGTTAACTGCTTTTAAGTCATTTGACACTTAACAGACACTTAATACTCAGAACAGGACACAGGGTTTACACACTGATATATTTCATGGCTTTTGAAACACTTACTTTTGGCCTCATTGATGATGATCTGGTTGTCCTCCCTCTGTCCTTTTCTCCGTCTGCTTTGGCATCTGGTCAAGCTCGACAGAGTCAAAATAACAATCAAAACCTTCAGGCCTAACCGTAACCACCGCATGGTCATTCTCCGGTCTGCTCAGCCTGTGGAAACAAGGAGAGGGTTACAGAGGTGAATGAATACCATCAGTCCTCTGCCACACAGCTTCACTTCAATCCACAGGGTGACGACTGCAGCAGCTACTCACCGAAGCAACAGTTGAATTCCCTCAGCATCCTGTGATGATTGTGATATCCTCTACATTCTGTGGGTTACACACTTCACCTGGCTGCTCTCTGTTAGAGCTGAGGTCGTATCTTTACAATCACAGCTGCTGTTTGACATCACTGTCACCTCTACTACTCTTCTGTTACCAACTGCTACTGCACTTACCATCTACCACTGCTGATACTAGTGCTAGAATTTTTTGATTATTTCTGCATAAATGTGATTAAGTATTTTTTATCAGTCAGGTATTTACAGTAATTCACTGGGCTAGCCATAAACACACACTCCTGTCTGCTTATTTTATCTATGAGCAATTTCTCAATATATTGTCCAGAAACTGTGTTTTTCAAAATACATATCAATATCATTATATAGAATTATATACACTGATTTTATCCATATCACCCACCCCTAATTACCACTACTACTACTACTGTAATTACTACTGATATTGTTACCACTAATACTACATTTAATGACAACAACAACAACAACAACAACAACAACAACAACAATAATAATAATAATAATAATAATAATGATAATGGTGATGCTATAGAACTACTTGCGTGAATATTATTTTGTAAGATTTAATTAACCCTTGTACATAAAATACACTGAATCATCAACATCAACTGCTAATTACTTTTCTGGGTAAATTTTCTACAATTTTTTTTTTTTGTTGTAGATACAGCCTGTGTCCACATTATCATGTCACTGACAATTTGAGTAATTATCATCCATGATGAAAACTGGTCACGTACCTGTGTGTTAATGAAACCAGGGCACCAGTTTCATTCATCAATGAGATCGACCGGCGCTGATGTGCTGCTCCCACTGTAGAGGCGCAGAGAGCAGCGGCACCAGTGGTCTCGCTCACCGGTGACAAGCCAACCACACTACAGCAAGTCAAACGTCCTGTTACTCCTTTCACAATAAAGCTTTACCTGAGAGAGAAAACGATGGTGTTTTTACTCTTGAATGTGTTTGCAGCTACAGTTGTATTTCATAGTTTAAATTGGAGTACATTTTGAAACGCTATTTGTAATTTGTCTGCGCTGCTCAACACTTTTTCATGAATGACAGATTTTCTGCTTTCATTTTGAAGACAAATCGTTTTCTGAAATTAACAAACTGATGCATCTGCACCCATATGTCACTGCATTACTGATTGTGATAAAGTGTCTGGGAATGCACGACTAATACCAGCCACAGATTTTATAGATGTGAACATCTATAAACATCAAACAAGTAGATGTTTTATTGTATGATGTATTTAAATCATTATCACTGATGGACGTATGTTAAAGCACCATATTAATGCTTTAGCATTTTAAGGTGGAATTTATTTCAGCTACTTAGTTTAGTCTATAACAACATATCACACATCCTATTTTATAAACTGATATTTTCTGGATGGAAGTTAACTAGTATAGGCTGGAAAATGAATGTGGTGGAATATTAAGTACAATGTGAAAGGGATTTAAGTTGAAGTAGAAAGCAGTATAAATTAAAATGTCATGACTGCCATATTGGCAAACAATTAGCCCAATTACACTTCCAACAAACACAGAGAAACCTCAGAGAGAACGGGTGTTAATCCAGAAAATGTTATTGCAACTATCTTTCACTGAAGAAGAAGACAAAACAGTCCAGTACAGAACAAGTAGCCTATATACAAAAAAAAAAAGACTGGTAGAGTGAAGAGGACTGACTGTGGATTTAGGAGTAGGCCAGTGTCTGGGGTCAGACTGAAATATGGTCCATCCAGGGTGTGGGAGAAAAAAAGTAATATTCAGGATGTTTTGAATCTAATCTATGCCGAGTGGCAATTTAAGAATGTTGAATGACTGTGAGAAATTGTACCTGGAGGATGTTGGTATGAGAAACTATTAGCTGCTCCCATAATTCATACAGACAGGCTCAGATAAGGCCTCATGCCCAGCTCCTTACATAAATCATGAATATGTCTGAGACCTGCCACCATTCTCTGTGAGAAGTTACCAGTCATTCAATAAATATTACCTGGAACCCTGAAGAAAACATCTCCTTATATAACACATTCATTTGCTACTGCTGAAAATAAACCCTGCTCTGGACTGACCTAGATCAAACTATCTGCATAATAAGTGCTCAATGTCTATGTCGGCACATTAAAAAGTTAGTAGACTAAAGTGGGTTCATATCCAGGACTGGTTCATTGTGACAATAAAATCCTGGCAAGAGAAAGAATTGGAAACTAAACAATGGAAAATAAACGATGTATATAAGATAAATTGTTTCATAAATGCAAACCACGACAGTTACACTTACATTACACTTTAAGCTGCAGTAATACACTTTTTTGTCCACTTGGGGGCAGCAGAACTAGCTGTAAACAAACTATCCCATAAAGTTTTATGACTACCATATTAGCAAACAGTTGCCTATTTACACGTACAGCAGACACAACAGAACAACATTAAGATTCATTTAGTCATACTTGTGGCCATCCAACAAATGTGAGTCCAGCATTCAGTCTCCTTTTAGCTTTATTTTGGTTTCAGGCAACTCCAGAGAAACATATCTGTCTTTGGCTGCTAAATGAGCCTTTATGTTCATCAACCAGTAGCTAATGTTGTCTGTTTGGTGCTGGGAAGACAGTGTATAGTGGATTTATTGGAGATTTATGGCTGGACCCACCATGGGCCAGTGTTAAATGACTGACTGACAGACTGACTATCAGACTGACTGACTGACTGACTGACTGAGTGATATATTTGAGTGAGTGATGAAGTTAATTGTTCAGCTGCGTGTTGGACTTTTCCCATTGGCTGTACCTCTGTCAAAATGATTTGGCATAAACAGTTTCTGTTACATCATCAGTGTGCATTTACAGCAGGTACACAACAGTTTTCAACAACTGTATTTGCTCAAATAGTGAATGTGGCTTTATTTTACCTCAACTGCAGAAGGTAACAGGTCTTTATGAGAGACAGGTCTTTATTTCTAATTCCCTCTGTTTGATATGTATAATTGGTCATACTGGTATTTTAGTATGGTACCTCATTTTGATCCACTCCCATTTGCCCTGTTATAGGTAAACATAAACTCAACATGTCCTGTAAGCGTTTCAAATTAAATTAATTTATTTCTTAATAGAGCTTTTATTGCTACAGTTAGTGTATTGTCTCATTTCTGGTTTCTGGTGTTTGGTGTCCGCTAGTTTCTTTGGCAGTTAGCAATGACCTCTCCCTCCCTCTCTCTCCTGCTCTCTCTGTTCGATTCCTCTGCCTCCTTTAGCAATAATGGCATGTATAATTAATGTAGTTTATGGAGGTGAGGCTCATTGAATTGGAAGTGTGACAGGCACACAGAGAGGGTTCGTAAAACCTTCATTAATATGGCAGCCCACCAGGGTTTCTCCCTGCTCCTGACGGCCAGTCCAAGTACGGAACTGTGTGAAACCCAACACAGTCCAGCCATATACTAGGTTTATACCATCTCTTGTTCACAGAAAGCAGCTACCTGCTACTGCTGGACACAATGTTGACAAAAGTGGTGAGACTGAACAAACAGTTAAAAAAGTAAAGTTGTGGACAATACAACCAAAACAATGTGCTGAAAATGGCTAAAAAGTTCTGTAGAGCTGAGGGGAACTGGGTGAGAATTATCTGTCGGTCAGCAAATTAGAGCACACCTTTCATGTTAGTCAGCTGATCTGTTGTTAATATAAAAAACGCTCTGTATATATTGTGCATATGGAGAGACAGATATGGACAGTCTGTGAGTGGATGAACCAGCCCGGGTGCCTGGTGCTGCTGGGTGGATGGGAAGAGACTGGTGGTAATGCTGGCAGTGGCACGCTGTCTGCAGACAGCTCTGTGCTAAGACAACACAGCCAGACAGCAACAACACCAATAACAGGCTGGGAGTTTAGAGAGCGCTTCCTGCGGCAGTTCAACATATTTTGACTAGGCCAACAGGCTTTTTTTCAGCACACGGCTGCACACCCAGACACTCTCTGGACACAAGTATGGAGAGCTGCTAGTGGTGGGCAGGAAATGTGACACAGCCTCGCAGCAGGAATTATCCAAAAAACTAAACAAAGCTCAATATTGAAAGTTGTGTGTGAGCTGCAATAGTCTGCTAAGGTTGTTAGAAGGAAAAAGCAAGTAAGTGGTCCTTGAGTATGTTTATTTTGTGTTAACTTAAAAAGTATTAAAGGACCGCTGTGACATTATGGGAACTCGCTTGTTTGCCATCTTACATTCCTTTGCACAAGTGGTCACCGTCAATGCATACATGAACCTACTGAAAACAGTGACTCAGTACAGATATTAGTTGGGTATGCACAGTATATAGACAAGCTTAGCACAAAGCTGCTAGATTAACTTTGATTAAAGGATTCCAGTAGTGTCACGTTTTCACAGAGGAAAAAGGTGAAAACATACACAGAAACTTCTCAAACCAGCTCTGTAGATGACCTGACTCCTCCTCTGTCTGTCAACATGTTCCAGGTCAGTGTCTGAGGATCATCTGTTATTCTCTCCCACTTTGTATGGTCCTCACCAGCAAAGTGTTACTGGCTGTGTGTGTTTGTGCTGCAGCGACTGGAGTCATCATTGTTTATTTTATTTTATTTACGTTGCAATTTAACATTTCAAAACAAAGCATGAAACTAATGTGCTGCACAGAGAGTTTGTAGCTGTTGCTAATTTGCCCCTCCTGCCCCTCGTTGGGCTTTTACATATATAATGTCATTACAACAGTCAATGGCAAAAACAACACAACTGATTATATCCTACAATTAGCTAAAAATAGACGGATGTTCACCGATTCACCACGCTCCTAGTTACTGTTACTGTCTTGTC